GTGCCCCGGTAGTTACCCCTTCAAATCAGCAATGGCACCAACCGGAACATTACCAACAATAGAAGCGCTAATAGAAGGCAGGAGAGCAAGGGCCCTGATTGATACTGGCTGCACCGCAACATTAATCCGGTTGGGTCTTTTGGCTGATTGTAGGAGTACAAGTAAGAGCAGTGGATGGACGGGAGGTTGTGTGCAGAGGGATCAGCACAGTGACGTTGGAGGTATGTGGATGGTTACTGAGAATCGAGGCAATTGTAATGGAAAAGATCATCGACAATGTTGACGTCATTGTGGTCATGCATGTTATCCGCCATCTTGGAGGGGTTACCGTCTACGAAAATGGTAATGTGGGGTTCAGAGGAGGAGATTGTGCTATGAATATACAAGCAAACGGCAAGAGTAGCAAAACAAAATCAATGAGAAATGGTAGATAAGGATTTTAGTGCAAGATTGGATGGAGAGAAATGGATAATGGAATGGAAATGGATTTCAGAACCTCCGATATTAAAAAAAACAACGTTAATCACTATCATACTTGTTGAGGGGTCCACCCCTTTTTATACAAATGGACTCACCCAGTGTATACTTATACTACGGCTACGTGAAGACCCGAGAGCAAGACCGAAGAGTCGAGTCGAGTCCAGAGTGACAGAGTAAAAGGTTGTAGGTAACCGGAAGAGTGAGGGGTGAGGTAACAGCGTTGTAGGAGTCACAGTGAGCGAGCACGTAGACTCAGCAAGAAGTCATCCAGCGAGACTGTATATATATTTTGCTAATAACCTGCTTTACCAATTTGTATTATTACGTTAATACATTATTTTCCTATATTCATTCTTGGCGTTTGTTATTTATTGGTACCGGATTTTATCTCGGAATCCACAACAATACTGAACGGAGTAAGGAGAAGGAGGTCGAGGAAGGAATTTTAACCCCGTAGAGAAAGCTATTACGGCGACGTGCCGTGCAGGCCGAGATGAGATCAAGGAGTTGCACGGACTGCATCATGTAGGAGTGGACAGAACACTATATCTAGTACGGAAAGTCTACCCGAAGGTGTAAAGAGATACTTTACAGAAGGTGGTTAGAAGCTGCGATCGTTGTCAATCAATCGACCCGTCGCCAAATGTTCACGACTTAGGAGAGATCCAAGTAGACACCAATTGGACCAGGTTATCTATCGATGTGACGCATTATAGAGGTGAAACGTACCTGACTATAGTTGATTGTGGCCCTGGCCGGTTGGCCATTTGAAGGGAGATTCGAGCAGAAACGGCAGACATCATTGCGAAGGAGCTGGAGGAGTTTTTTTTTTTTTTTTTTTTTTGAGCGTGGACCGGTTGAAGAGGTACTCATGGACAATGGGACAGCGTCGATGTTGGACATTATTATAGAGCAGCGTACACACCTGGCGGAAATGGTATCGTAGAACGAAACCACCGAACTATAAAAGTCATTGCTGAGAGAGGAGGGATATCGCATGCCGAAGCGGTATTTTGGTATAATATGTCACCTAAATCTGGCCAACGTGAAGACACTGTGCCGCACAGAGTAATTTACACATACCAATGGAGACATCCTAGAGTTAGATCATGTTTAATACACTCTAACAGGCCTGAATCTATACGGATTGGAGAGGAGGTTTGGGTCAAGCCAACTGGAGCCCGCTGCACGACAAAATGGACAAGAGAAACGGTTACCGGGGCGCAGTCGCGCAACAATGTTGAGGTGGATGGTATGCCAAGGCATCTTCTTGACCTTAGAGTGATTCAGAGAATGATGGAGACAATGGGAGAAGTTCTCATAGACTAAGCCCCAAACACTGCGGAGATCGCAAAGAGAGCGACACCCGCCCAGATGAATGGATGACTATGTAACATGAGATGTGAACATGAGATCGGTGGGGGGGGTCGTGTAGTTTGAAAGAAATTACCTCATGGACGTTCGTACGTAAAAAGAATCTCATGGGAAAACCACGAATGTTTTTATGCTGACAAATTAACGCAAAATCACGGCAATGAGGAGATTTGAGAAAGCATAAATATGCAGTGTACGAAATACGGGGGTGCTACCAGGCTAAGGAGAGGTACGAAGAAAAATTACAAGTGCCGGAGTTATTGAAACCTCTGGAAAAAATTGATCTTTCTCAGATGAAGAAGGAATTGGATAGAGTGGAAAGAAGTGTTATGAGTTATACTCACCGCGTATGGACCCCTGTAAGTTTTTCAATGGCAATACGGAGAGTAACTTCTATAGCTTTGGTGATCTCGGTATCATGGTTACTGAAAAGATATAAAGGTATATTGATTAGGTCTAAGATATCGGCAAACCCAGGTGGGAATGGGGGGATTCCATTGTGTGTTCGTACGCAAGAGGAGTCGAAAATGTCAGATCACATAAGTGAGAGGCCTAGGAGCTCTAATGCCATTAGAGACATCACTGGAGCTGCTAGCAAACCAAGACGTGTAACGTGACCCAAAACGGTTAGAAAATTGGTTGACAATGGCATCGAGAGCCTAACTGGACAGCCCGAATAGCAATAAAAATACAAAAAACTGAAATTTTCTTTAGCATGTTATAGTCTATGAACTGAACTTTTAATCATTGCGAGTATTAATGAAATTTCGATTGCATGAAAAAGAGGAGGAGGGATTGCATGAGTCTCTACCTGTTAACCCTTTTTGGAATTTGCTGTATTAATATTGAGTCTTGGCGGATCTGAAACCTATTTCGGAAGAAAACAAAGGCAGGAAGGAAAGAAAAAGAAGAAATAGAGAAATATTATTATGTTGATCTTACTATGAAATTCTTAGTCGGTTAAAACCAGAAATCCTACTTCGTGTCGGTTAGTGGGGGACGAAGAATGTATTATTGTAAAAATATTTTCCAACAGGGGTGAATATCCCCCAACCCACCCAACTCACGCTGCCCTTCTCCAGAAAATGTTAATTTCTATATAAACAGCTAATAGCAGTCGCAAAAATGATAGTTACCCCGGCAGAGGAGTAAAGATTACAGTTTCATCGAGAACAGAACGACTGCTTAACTCAACTCGAACTAGAACGACTGTTGCTGCTGATTTTATGCTGTTTCTCACGTGAATGAACGATAATTCGGGACGTTTGACAACACTTTATTTTTTTCTTTCTAGTGGATCCAAAAGTGAACTCCTACTAAAGAATTTAATTGTTAATTTTTTTTTATCTTTCTCCAAGCAGAGAAAGCGAAAAAAAGCAATTTGAACGCTATGTCATATGTGGTGATCTTCTAGGGAGTGTTGACAAGAACTCATTATTTGATCCATGGAAGTATGTTGTTAACCATAAACTTGTAGCTATCACTTTCTGCGATGCTATTGATAAGTATGTGCGCTGATAAAGAATAAGAATTGAAAGAATAAATGCTACTAAGTAAATCAGTAGGCCTTGCCTAAACATTGAATATTCTGTGAAAAGTTCTAATTAGAAAATACGGTCGACAGCCAAAGGAAAATATGGAAGAGAGGGTGGTAAGTTCAATCCCTGGGTCAGAAATCAAAGTGAGATCATAATGAATTTTTGAAATTCTTTAGAAATGCCACTGGTAACGTAATGAGGACTGAATCATCTTCCAATATAAAGTGTTCGGTTTGACATTATTAAATGTGATGTGATAGCTGGCAATGAAATACAAAGGAAGGAAACCTATATACATAAATAAATAAAATATAATAACAAATTTAGCAATGAGGATTTCATCTATTCAATCCTTCAGAAATGCTTAAATGTCTAAAGTTTTCATGTTTCATATCAAGTTCCTTTAAGGTAGAAGGATATTTTACAATTTCTGAAATGAGATGTATTAAGGACTATAGTGCTACTGTTTCTTCCTGGTGTTATGTCTGCTTTATCCAATAGGTTTTCTTTCATTCTGGAAGTAAAATACATTGATTCATGTCTTTAGAAAAATCAATTAAAACTTACCAGAGCGCAGAACCTGGCACTGTCTTGGAGAAAGATATTGTCCAGGTGGCATGTCGTCTTCATGCCAAAAGAGTATCCAAAGCTAAATTGTTCTAGGACTTGCGTGGTGAAGATTCAAATCATGGCTAACGCAAAGCATTAATCATTTTTCAACAGTTTGTAGGAAAGATCAATTGTTGGAAAATATCATCCTATAAATTATTTGGTACTGCAAATTCTTTTCAGGCAGTGTCCTGCAAAATACCGCCTATATTTCTTAAAAAGAAAAAAAATTAAAATAATTATAATATTTTCTTTTGTGAGAATTTCATAATGCGTTTTTGGAAAAAAAAAGGGAGTAGTCAGTATGTTTAACTGAATTTCATGTACAATTGGAATAAGATGACTTTTGACATTATCATTCCCTCTATTCATATAAATGAAAGTATAGGGACGGGAGTTATTAATAGAAGAATAATTCTATAGATAACATTTATGATAAGCATTACTGCACAATTGGCAACTATCAAAATATACTAATCACTTTTAAAGTTAGAAAAATGAAATGGATATATCCATAGGATTTTTTTTTGGTGAAGAAGTGTTACGAACCCTCATCTAAATTTATTATAAAAGGTATATCAATGCTTTAAAAGCACACTAAATAAAAAGTCAGTACTCTCAGAAGGCGTAAAAATAGAAAAGCAAAGAGATAAAGCAGAATTGAATGTTGACAGATAGTAAACAGACAGTACACTTTCTTTCTCTTTTAATCACATGTTGACAATATGATTTAGCCGGATGGATCCCAGATGGAGAAACAACTTATACACTCTTTAACATTACAGATAAGAGAATGAATCTGTGAACTCATTCGCTCACACAGGAAAAAGATTCATATTTGAAAATAAGGACCATATGATGAATAAAAAAACAAAACAAACGAAAGGCGAAAGGCTGGACGGACGGGTTGGTTTTAAATACGACAGTATTATGGTTACGTAAAAAAAGTCCTTCTTCGGTCTGAAGATTGGAAGGGCGAGTCTGCTCTGACCGCGATAGTCAGCTATAGATTTGGGTATGCGAAAGAAGTATTTGGATATGTGAAAGTGAGTCCATCTTCGAATGGAACGGACAGACAACTATAAAGGCGATCAGTTCATTATCATTGGTCATGCGGAAAAAGTCCCTCTTCAAACTGAACGGACGATCAGCTATAGATGCGACAACAAGATATCGATTTGCATATGTGAAAAGTATAGAAATCTAACACGGCCTCGAAACCGAAAGGATTCAACAAAGTTTGATTCAAGGAAACAAACTCCAGCATACGATGAATGCTGTTGCATCAAGACGAAAAAAAGTGAAAGAAGACAGCTTCAAGTGATTCGTTACACAATCACCTAGATCAGACGAAAGGAAAAAGAGAGGAACGATCTCAAAAAAGACACTTATATGAAAAGAGAAAGAGAGGAAAGACGTCAAAGGAGAGTCAAGAGCAGATGAAAGATCTCAAGGGAAATTCAAGACGAGACGAAAAGAAAAAGAATATGAAAAAGTTCTAAAAAGAAAGACTTATATGAAAAGTGAAAGAGAGGAAAGACCTCAAAGCAAGTTCAAGAACAGAAGAAAAGAAAAAGAAAGTAAGAAAAGTTCTCTTAAAAAGAGACACTTATATGAAATGAAAAAGAGTGGAAAGACGTCAAGGGAAATTCAAGACCAGACAAAAAGGAAAAGAAAGTGAAAATTGTTCTAAAAAGTGTCATTTACATGAAAATAGAAAGAGAGGAAAGATCTCAAAGGAAATTAAAGTCAGACGAACAGAATAAGAAAGTGAAAAAATGCTCAAAAAGAAACACTTATATGAAAAGAGAAGGAGTGCAAATTCACACGAGATGAAAAGGAAAAGAAAGTGAGAAACATTCTCAAAAAGAGACACATATCTGAAAAGAGAAAGAGAGGGAAGACTTTAAGGGAAATTAAAGACCTGGTGAAAAGAAAAAGAAAGTGAGAAAAGTTCTCAAAAAGATACCCTATTACGAAAAGAGTAAGAGAGGGAAAAAACTCAAGAGAAATACAAGGCCAGAAGAAAAGAAAAAGAAAGTGAGAAAAGTTCTCAAAATCAGACACTTATGTGAAAAGGGAAAGAGATGAAAGACTTCAACGGAAATTCAAGACCTGGCAAAAAGAAAAAGAAAGTGAGAAAAGTTCTCATAAAGAGACACTATTATGAATAGGAAAAGCGGGGAATCACCTCAAGGGGAATTCATACCAGACGAAAGGAAAATGAAAGGGAGAAAAATTCTCAAAAACAGACTCTTATATGAAAAGAGAAAAGAGGAAAGACATGAAGGGAAATTCAAGACCTGACGTCAAGAAAAAGAATTTAAGAAAAGTTCTCAAAAGGAGACACAGCTGAAATGAGAAAGAGACGAAAGACTTCAACGGAAATTAAAAACCAGGCGAAAAGAAAAAGAAAGTGAGAAAAGTTTCTCAAAAAGAGACACTTTTATGAAAAGAGAAAGAGAGGAAATAACTCAGGTGAAATTCAAGACCAGACAAGAAAATGAAAGTGAGGAAAGTCCTCAAAAGGAGCCGCTTATATGTAAAGAAAAAGAGAGGAAAGACCCCAAAGACCAGTAAAAGAAAATGAAAGTGAGAAAAGTCGTCAAAAGGAGCCGCTTATATGTAAAGAAAAAGAGAGGAAAGACCCCAAAGACCAGTAAAAGAAAATGAAAGTGAGAAAAGTCGTCAAAAGGAGCCGCTTATATGTAAAGAAAAAAGAGAGGAAAGACCCCAAAGACCAGTAAAAGAAAATGAAAGTGAGAAAAGTCGTCAAAAGGAGCCGCTTATATGTAAAGAAAAAGAGAGGAAAGACCCCAAAGACCAGTAAAAGAAAATGAAAGTGAGAAAAGTCGTCAAAAGGAGCCGCTTATATGTAAAGAAAAAGAGAGGAAAGACCCCAAAGACCAGTAAAAGAAAATGAAAGTGAGAAAAGTCGTCAAAAGGAGCCGCTTATATGTAAAGAAAAGAGAGGAAAGACCCCAAAGACCAGTAAAAAGAAAATGAAAGTGAGAAAAGTCGTCAAAAGGAGCCGCTTATATGTAAAAGAAAAAGAGAGGAAAGACCCCAAAGACCAGTAAAAGAAAAATGAAAGTGAGAAAAGTCGTCAAAAGGAGCCGCTTATATGTAAAGAAAAAAGAGAGGAAAGACCCCAAAGACCAGTAAAAGAAAATGAAAGTGAGAAAAGTCGTCAAAAGGAGCCGCTTATATGTAAAGAAAAAGAGAGGAAAGACCCCAAAGACCAGTAAAAGAAAATGAAAGTGAGAAAAGTCGTCAAAAGGAGCCGCTTATATGTAAAGAAAAAGAGAGGAAAGACCCCAAAGACCAGTAAAAGAAAATGAAAGTGAGAAAAGTCGTCAAAAGGAGCCGCTTATATGTAAAGAAAAAGAGAGGAAAGACCCCAAAGACCAGTAAAAGAAAATGAAAGTGAGAAAAGTCGTCAAAAGGAGCCGCTTATATGTAAAGAAAAAGAGAGGAAAGACCCCAAAGACCAGTAAAAGAAAATGAAAGTGAGAAAAGTTCTCAAAAGGAGCTGCTTATATGTAAAGAAAAAGAGAGGAAAGACCCCAAAGACCAGTAAAAGAAAATGAGAAAATTTCTAAAAAATAGACACTGTTATGAAATTGTACAAAAGAAATTACTAAACATAAATTCAGAAACAATTTCTAAATACAGACATGAAAACAAATACCTGTTATCACAATTTATGCCAAACGGATAAAAAACTATACCAACCAACGCTAGTACATAAACCACCATTTACCCTATGAACATGAAAAGAGAAACCACTGACACCATGATACCATCAATTATTTTCTATTTCAAACTACCATCATAATATTAATAATGATCGTTATTACTATTCCACCACCATTACTACAATCACTTCTACCACTTTACAATAACTATTTGCTACTACAATTGTTATTATCATCACACGCACCCCCACCGTTACTACCGCATCACAATTACTATTGCTGCATGTCCACAATTACTACCGCGCCACAATTCGTATGCCATATCAGTTCACAATTATACTTATTCTCCCCCCTGTAAAATTACTACCAACGCATAAATACTAAGAAGTATTATAAATTGAAGTTTCTGCCATTTATATATGCACAATCGTCAGAAACAAACAAATAACTGGCTTTAAAATAATAACAAAACAGCATTAAAAAAATTAAAATAATAGCAATTTTACCTACCATAGTCTTACACAGACCCGATCTTAAAAAAGAAAACAGACGGATAGAAGATGTGTGAATGCGTGTGTATACGTATATACGTGTGTGCGAGAAAACATTATTCAGCGAACAAAGTAGACGAACGGTCTGCGCGTCGATACTGAAAGATGTTCGCTACACAATCCAACATTGAATTCAGCGACCAATTGCGTACGTATATACGCAACGACATATACGCCCAGTCCCACATATATGTTTATGTTTGTGTGGGCTCCAATGAGTAAGCGTCGGTGTATGTATGTCTGCGTACGTCAATGAGTGAACATGCGTTTATATATATATATATATATATATATATATATATATAATTATTTATTTAAAAATATGATTCCAAAACGCGACATAAGAAGTCTCATGTTTCAAAACAAGAGCCGAAAACTTCAATATAATTATTTAAATTAAATTGAGTTAAAGTAAGCTCTGTTCCATCTCCAAGCGAATTTTTTTTTGGAATAACGTATATCTGAAATTTACGTGTTTTAAAAATTGAAATCAAAATTTCCATGGTAACAGCTAGGGCGAATTGTTTAAATTGGGTAGGCGAGTGTTGGGTGTTAATAATAAGTATCAGTATAGAGTTACTTTCATAGATGTCAAGTCAGGGAAAGGTAGGGGTGTCTAAATTTTAAACGGAAGATGTATTAACCCTCGTCTAGTTTGCATGTCTATGGAGATTTATTTATTTTTTTATTTTATTTTTTTATGAAAGGGATTTGTGCATAAAAAACAAAAAAAACAACTGTCGTACCGTTTGTTTTTTGACGACTTCATAAAGGGTTATCTTTTTTGTAGGGTATTTAAAGTATTTATTTGTGCTATGGATTATGAAGGGTATTATATTGTATGCATGTTTTTAGTTAATTATTCATTATTTATTTGGAATCATATTTTTAAATAAATAATTATATTTACGCTCTACTTTTGTATCGAGCACTATTTTTTAAAAATATTAACTAAAATACTAAGGGACTTTGGATTATTTACCTAACCAGTTCCTTCCTATTTTCTATATATTTTCATATTTCTATATATTTTCATATATATATATATATATATATATATATATATATATATATATATATATATATATATGTATGCGTGTGTGTGTGTGTAAAATATATAGAAAATAGGAAAGAACTCATTAGGTAAATAATCCAAAGTTCTTTAGTATATATATATATATATATGTGTGTGTGTGTGTGTGTGTGTGTGTGTGTGTGTGTGTGTGTGTGTGTGTGTGTAAAATTGAACGAGAAAATAAATAGTCGAGAAAAATAAAAAAAATTTAAAAAATAATAATATTGCGTCTAGCATGAAACAGACTGTCGCCTCTAAGTGTTGGCTTCAATGTTCACTTTTATATTTACACACACTTTATCTCTTATATTGAGTACTTTATCCCATAAATATAGCACACCTTAAGACTATATATATATATATATATATATAAGAAGATAAACCGCAAACATTTTTGGGTGAAATGTGATATTTTTTTTATTTTAAAATATATATTATACTCTATTTTCCATAATTCTGCTACACACGTTTCTGATTTCTGTCGTCATGGTGTTTTCAAAAGTGTAAGAGTTCCCTTCTATAATGATATCACACACCCCACAACTTTTTGCTGCATTTTGCAACCCCCTGTATTGTGTGTTGGTTAAATTTGGATGAGGTTAATATGTGTTTCAGGTTTTTAGATTGGAGTTTGCTTTTAATTATTTTGGTTGTTTTTAGTATATTTTTCATTTTGTCATTCTTCTTAAGTAGGTCTAGATTTTTTGTAGTTTTTAGATAGTTTTGGATTGTTCCTGTTGCATGTTGAGACATACGCTACAGTTTGTTCGACATTACGTTTCTTTGGACTTCGAAGTTGGTCATAATATGTGGAAATATCCACTCTTTGGCTGAAGATCGCGAGACATGAAACACTTGTAGCAAAAAATATGGGAAAAAATATATATATATATATATATATATATATATATATATTAAAAATCCACATTATAACTTTTAATATATATATATATATATATATATATATATATATATATATATATATCAATTAAAAATATCAAACACGTAAAATCCTATATGTAATAATTTTATTTCATGAGAGCTCTAAAAACCTCTGTTCACAATCTTCAAGATCTACAAACAAATCACAAATGAAGTGGAAAAAATGCCTGGTTAAAATCAAGAGATATTGCAATTTTATTTAGAAAGTGGGAAAAGGCAGAGAGTGTTGACCTTTTTTGATATACTAACCTCAGTATATATCTGAGAATGGTAGAAAGGCTTGACGATGGTGGAAGGGCTTAAAGTGTCGTTAGTTCAATGTGAATAATCCCGTCTTTTTCTGTCAACGGCCAAATTTCAAGGGCTGATATATTTCATTCAACGAATAATTTGTAAATAATATGAAAAGACATTTTTAAAGATTTCGAAATTAGCGAAAAAATTTCATAAGCTTTTGATATAATTAACCACGAAATTTAAATTAAATTACCTAAGAAATTTGAATTAAATGATAATTATACTCAGAGAAACATATTTATAAAGGTTATATACCTAGAGTATTGAACTTTTATATCTTAGATGTATTTATTAATATTTAGCAGGATATGAATGTACTTTAAACTAAGGAAATATTAGATCGGGTTTAATCCGCTGCATTTCATTCAAGAAATTCTGTAAATAATATTAAAATAGTTTCTGGTTCAGAACATTTTAAAAAAGCTTTTCGAAATTAGCGAAAAAATGTTTTTAAAATTAAATTTAAATTAGTATAAACTTTTTGTATAATTAACCAAGAAACGTAAGTTAAAAAACCTAAAAGATTTGAATTAAGTGATTATTAATTATATTCAGAGAAACAAATTTATAAATGTTATATACCTAGAATCCTGAACCTTTATGTCCTAGATTGATTTATTAAGATTTATCAGGATATGAATGTACTTTAACCTAAGGTATATTTATTAAGTTAATGAGTTTAGTTAAAGACGTATTCCATATTAATTTAAAGGAGAACCGTTTAACCCGATTACCGCGTAGGATCGCAAATAGCGTGAAACCCAGAGTCACAAACTCACATCAATCCAGCTATATATATATATATCTTTCTTCACCCATAATGCAACACTGCAACAAGGATAGTCAGAATGGGCATATCACTAGTATAAAAAAGTAAACAACATAATAAAAATAAACACCATAATAAAAAAATTTTAAAAAATCCATAACATGAATGGCTAACAAAATTTCAGTTAGCATCATATATTCGCATATTCCCATATATACATCCTTATATATATATATATATATATATATATATATATATATATATATTGTCATTTTTAGGGCGGTGTTTGTGTCTGCATTTTGATATGAGTTCCGATCGAAGGTTAAATAAATCAACCTGTGTGAGAATCTTTGTCAATAAGATTCCAATAATATTTGGATAAAGCTGTTTGGTTTTTGAGTGACCTATTGCTGAAGGAGTGTTTGGTGATTATACAAGCGTTGCTTCCCGTTTCCCGCAGATATTCCAATGTAGATCTTCTTCAGGTCTACATTTTCTTCAGGAAAAATCGTTGCCTCATAGCACGTTTATAGACCTGTATTTACCTCTAATAGGACACAGTTTTCCTTCTGCAATTGCATGTGGGGTTAATATCCGTTACTTCACTGTTATGAAATTTATTTAGTAGCTTACTATTGTGGGCTGACATGATTTTCTCTACATTGTTAACACAAGAGTAAGTAATTTTAAGTGATTTTCTATTTAAAATTTTTGATAGAGGATTCTTGTCATCAAAATGTTTATCTTTTAAGAAGAAATGACCTGTATTAATATTGGAAAGTTTGCAGTTGGGTGGGTTGAACTTTTGACTTTCCTTTTTCTGCTTTTAGAGTTTTTTGAATTTAGGTTCTTAGACTCATCCTGGTAGTGCAACTCTTGTTTAAACTTGCTATTTCTTAGCGCTTGGTTATATATAAACTTACTCTTACTAAAAAAAATTGTTAGAGGATAACCTATTTATTCTTGTGTTGACTGCATTTGGTATATGTTATATACTTGACTTTGGGTGATTAGAATGAACATTAATGTAGATGGGGGTTTGACCCTCTTTTAGGAAGAGTTTAAAAGTATCGTTGGAAAGGATAAGAGTGATATCAAGAAACTTGACTATTTTTAGGTTAGAAGATATATCTATCTTGACACCTAAAAACTTGAAAACTTTAATAATATTTTTGGGTAGTTTTAAGGTAAAAGGACCATTACTATTGGAACAATCATTAGGTCATCGTCTCTATAAAGGCCAACTTGGTTGTTGTTAACAAATCTATCTAGGGTGTCCAATATGCCCACCAGGTCTGTTATCTTGGCAGAGTCACATGCCCCCCATAGGAACATCGGAGTTTTCATTGTTTCTTTTTATCCAAGTTGACTTATTACTAGTACTGATCTTCTGGATGCTATTATAATATTTAGTTCATCGTCCATGA